GTCAGACGCCATTCAAGAAGCTGCTGCAACTCCGCCCTCTAAAGGCTCAGAAATTAGCACGTGACAAACCAGCACTGGGCTGTTGTACCCAACTAGATAAAGCCTTTAGGCTAAACAAAGCCTTCTCAGTGCAGGCAGCCACATTTCATGATCTGTGAAGAGACAGCTGGCCTCCTACTTGTCACAGGTGCTCATGAGAGCTCGACAACAGTGCTGGCTGAACACTAGGGGGTGAACTCGCACTTTTAAGGTAATACCAACAGGTTCTTGGGGCACTGGGCAGTTGCAAGTTCCCTAGACCCGTTTCACTCACATCTCCAAAGCATTGTAGGCTCCTGTTGCTGATCCAGGGTTGATGTAAAATTTATTTTCATGTTCAAAGGCTTCAAATTTGTGCGTATGTCCCGAGATGAGAATGTCCACATCCAGCTGCCTCTGCAGCAAAGCCAGGCTGGCCACATCGCCCCAGGGAATGACTTGATGGCCATGAATCAAACCAATTCTGAACTGCCCAACAGTTACAACCTTCTCTTCGGGATAATTCAGACTCTGAGAATCAGAGATGCACAGGTTATATATATATGCTAAAGATCCCCTTACATGTATTTAATGTATTCCACATTAAATGCATTCCACACACATGAACCCATTGTTCCCTGTTGTAGGGCACAGCATCTCTTTCGAGGTGTACAAGCCACTGAGTGCGTGCACCATACCCAACAGCGCTGCAAAAAACTGGGATTTCGCACCAGACTGGAATCTCCTAGAGCCTAGCAGCTTTGAGACCACCCTACAGTAAGTAAGCACTCACACAAGCCCCAGCTCCCACCACCACAAAGGAAGCCGGGAAACCCCGACAGCCTCACTGCAATCCTGAGCAGACTTGGGCTTGAGTTCACATGAATGAAGTGACATGTAACTTCACCCCTCCCTCACTCCCCTCTATCACAAGCGCAAGCAGCAGCACCTGGAGCATTATCTGGATTGCTCGGCCTCACACTAGCCCCCATGCCCGTGAATTGCTAGCACGGAAGGACGCTCCCGGTTCCATCAAGGCAACCACGGCACGCAGCATGGTGGATACAGCAATTCACAGCAGTGAGCACTTTACCTCGGAGTCCCCCCTAACAACATGAATATCTGCAGCCAGAGTCCGGAGATAGTCATAGCTCTCCTTAGTGCAGAGGTTTCCCGTACACAGAATATGCTGGATCTTTCCTGGAACCAGCAGCTTCTTGAACTTCACTGGCAGGCCACTGCATCGGTGCGGGATGTGCAAGTCCCCTAACACTAACACCAACTTCACACCGGGCAGGACGAAAAAGGGAACGTTAAGCCCCGTTACTTCAATAGAACGGGGCAGCGACCCTCCGGGGGCCGCCGACCGGGGCGAACGGCTAC